GCGCGCCGCGGGTCCCGCGAGCAGCTGGACCCTCCCGCCGCCCGCCCCACGCCCGCTTCTCCCTTCCTGGCCCTCCATCCGGGCGATCGCATCGCGGTGGCGGCGCAGATTTCGGAGACTGACCACACATTTCTTGCCGAGGAAGGTGAAGAGGGACTCGTTCTCCTGCGGGGTGAGCAGCAGGGACCCCACGTTGGTGACCCTCCGCGGCGGGGGCTGCTGGCCGGAGCTCATGGTGCGGCCGGCCAGGCTTCGAGTCCAGGGCCGTCTCCTCGGCGAGTGGGCGAGCGCTCGTCCCCCCTCTTGGTGCCAGGGGTGGAGAGGAGGGGAGTTAGAGGTGCAGCATCTCGCAGCTCCTCAGCGCGGGGAGGAGGAGCAGGAGGCCCAGCGAAGGAGGCGCAGACTCAAGGCCGCCTCGGGCCGCGCGGGGAAAGGAAGGCTCCTCGCTCCCGCCCGGCTAGGCTTAGGCCGGATGGCCGTTGTCCTCGCCGTCTGGCGGCTGCGCTAAACTCCCAACTCCTCCTCCAACCCTCCTCCCTCAGCGGCAGCGGCGGCGGCGGCGGCCGCACAATCCAACATGGCAGCGAGGGCGGGCGGGCGAGCGCACAGGACGCAGGGGGTGGGGGACCGCGCCGGAAACGCGCGTGCGACCGGGCGAAGCCCCGCCCACCGCGGCCACGCCGCCCGAGGCCCCGCCTCCTTCCGGCCGCCTGACCGGCCTCCCAGCCTCGCGCGACTCCAGCCCCTTCAGGGCTCCACAGCCCACGGCCCAGTCCCCGGAACGGCCCCGAATTCCCCGGCGCGGAGGCGGGACTCGCACACCGCTGGTCGGAAAGGTCCAGAATCTGAAGAAACTCCGAGAGAAGAGACGCGCGCCCCTGTGCCGCTCGCCCCTTTTGGTCAGAGCCGCAGGTGCCTGGGATGCTCGAACTTTGGCCAAACTTCCTCCGCGACAGTGGACGCTCCGGGAGGCCTCTCGCCAGCCGGCGGCTGTAAGGAGAGAACCATCTTATGCTGGAAGAGCCGCCACTTGGCCTATCACCTGTAAAACACGTAGGCGTCAGCTCACGTTCTCCTCTAAAGAGACGTTCTGTCATGCGAGTTGTGCAAAAGCAAGAAAACAAAAGACACTGCCATCAAGTCGATGCTGCATAGATAGCTACCCTTCAGGATCGAGATCTGTCGGTGTGGGTTTCCAGGCCTGTACTGGAGCACAAAGCTGCCTTTCTCTCCTGGGATGATCGAGTTTTAAACTGTTGACCTTATTCTTCACAAAACAACTCTTATTGGATGGCACCCTCACCCCAATATATTTTTCTCTCAGACCTCAAAGACCTGGTTTTCTTCTGCTCCAGCCTGCCCATTTGAGGATGTCACCTAGGGACATGTTTCATCTGGTTTAATCCCTCTCTATGTGACATCAAGTCGATTCCAACTCATGGCAGCCCTATAGGACAGGGTAACACCTAATCCTTTCCGTTCTGAGACTTTAATTCTTTACCAGAGTGGTGGTGGTAGGTGCCATCGACCAGTTCTGACTCCTAGCGACCGTATGCACAGCAGAGGGAAACATTGCCCTGTCCTATGCCATCCTCACAATTGTTCCTATATTTTTAACCCATTGAAGCAGCCACAGTGTCAATATGTTAGGTTTCTGGATTGGAAACATTGATTCTTGCTTTGTGGCCCTGAAAGAGTTCACCCACCAGAAGCACTTTGTAACCAAGTGACTTTTATGAGGAAAAGGAAAGTTTCAAGTATTATAGTCGCAAAAGCTATGTGCAGGGAGGGAACTGCACAGGAGTTCACGGCTGAACACAAAAAAAGAACAAAAACAAAAAATCCCTGGAAAGAATACCGGGACAGGAGCACAAAACCGTGCTTGCAGAACCAGGAAATCCCAGGGGCCAAGAGGGAGGCCTGAAAGAGCTTGGGCCTTGGCTGAGCAGCATGCGTGTGCCCATAAGGGGGGAGATTCCCATCTTCCGACTGCCAAGCCTGCCTAAAAGACAAGGGTGGCCTTTCTGCGGACTTCTTTTATCCCCACTGGCTGGGGAGGCATAGTCGAGCGTATTGGCTGAGTTTAAGCACACCTGGGTGATGTCAGGTTGCTGGTGCCTAAGGTGGGAGTGCCCAGGTTGGCTTCCACCAGGGCCTAGAGGGCTTCTGTCTGAGCATGCTTAGTTTGGATATTTTCCCATAGATATCTTATGGGTGCCTGATTTCCTTGCAACCCCTTTGCTATGGCCCTATGCAGGCACTAGGGCAGATGACACCCCCCCGCCCCCCGCCCCCCTTAGTCCCTATTCTGGCTACCTAGCAAATCCATCTCCTTGTGGGCCTTCCTCTTTTTCACTGTCCCTCCACTTTACGAAACGAGGCCAGTCAGGACTGGCCTCTCCTGACATGGCCAAAGTATGTAAGATGAAGTCTCACCATCCTTGCCTCTGAGGAACACTGGCCTTATTTCTTCCACACAGATCAGTTTGCTCCTCTAGCAGTCCATGATACTTTCAGTATTCTCATCCGGTACCATAATCCAAGTGCGTCAATTCCTCAATCTTCCTTATTCAATGTCCAGCATATGAGGCAATTGAAAAGGCCATGGCTTGAATTAGGTGCTCCTTAGTTCTCAAAGTAGCATCCTGGCTTTTCAATACTATAAAGAGGTCTTGTGCAGCAGATTTACCTAATGTACATCGTCTTTTCATCTCCTGAGTGCTGTTTCCATGAGCACTGATTGTGGATCTAATCTTGACAACTTCAACTTTTTTCCTGTTTATCATGTTACTTATTGATCTAGTTGTGAGGATTTTGATCTTCTGTATAGTAAATTTTAATCCATATTGAATACCATAATCTTTGATCTTCATCAGCAAATACTTAAGGTCCTCACTTTCAGCAAGCAAGGATGTATCATCTGCATATCACAAGTTCTTAATAAGCCTTCCTCTAATCGTGATGCCATACCCTTCTGTATTATATCTTCCATCGCCCATGATTATTTTCTCAGCAAACAGATTGAAAAACTATGGTGAAAGAATATAACCCTGTCACATACTGTGTTAGACAGGGTTCTCTAGAGAGATAAAACCAAATTCTTGATAATATATTTATTTATAAAGGTAATTAATATATAACAAAAAATGAAATGTTAAATCATAAAGATAATTAGATATATAACGAGAAATGAAATGTTAAATCATATACAGATAAATATACAATCTTAAATCATATACACATAAATATACAATCATATACAGATAAATACACAAGAAATAAACAGTTAAATTAGAAGCACTATAAACGGCTTAGTGCAACTCACGTCCGTGAGAGAAAGTTGAGAGACTAGCAGTCCTTCCAGTCTCTATCTGATGCCAGATCTTCCTGTATTTGTAGAGAGCTAGGTTATGTCAGCACAGCAGCCAATCACAAGGCAGGTCACCAATTGCCAGTTCCCAGCTCCAGAGAAGTCTTAAAGGGACCTCAACTTACAGCAACACAGTCCACAGGCTAGGCGTCCCACAGGCTCTGTAGCCTTTAAATTAAAGCACAGAACAAGCAAGGCAGCCGCACACTGGTCCAATGATCACAGAGCGAGAGACAAGAAAGGCAAGGCTCACCAAGCCATCCATCTCTCCGCCCCTCAGTCAATCCCACCTGCGTTTATCAGCCAGGCTGGCACAATAAACTGTCTCACATACCTTTCTTGATTTGAAGACATGGAGTATTCCCTGGTTCTGTTGTTATACTTGCCTCTTGATGTAGTGAAGATTCCCTTTCTCAGGGTTATCCATGTTTGGTTATGATCCACACAGTCAAATGCCTTGGCATAGTCAATAAAACACAGGAACCGTCTTTCTGGTATTCTTGCCTTCAGCCAAGATCCATCTGACGTCAGCAATGATATCCCTTGTTCCATGTTCTCTTCTAAATTCAACATGAACCTCTGGTAGCTCCCTGACAATGAAATGCAGCAACTGTATGTGGTATTTACACAATCCATTGTCAACTTGAGACTATTAAAAGTGAAGGGGTAGAGTTTAGCCTGTTAATCAGGTCACAGCTTGATGACCTCATTTAGAGGCCCTAAGGAGAGAAATAGCTTGTTGGAGGCGGGACACACGCTCATTCCTTGGGAGACATTCCTGTTGACTAGTCACATGGAGCTATGCTGATGGCAGCCAGAGCCTTGGAGCTGGAGGAGCCATGTGGAGACCCACACCAGCGCTAAGATGCTTCCACTGCCATTGGATACACAAGACTTGGGCTCATATCAGACTTATGGACTTGATCTGGACTGGACTGGGATTTTTTCTTAATGTACAATTATTCTTTATGTAAAGCTCTTTCCTATACACCTATCAGTGTCCATGAATTTGTTTCTCTAGTCAACCTGCACTAACACACCGTTGTTGGATGATCATCAGCAAAATTTTACTTGCATGTGATATCAATGCAATTGTTCTATAGTTGGAGCATTCTGTTGGGTCACTTTTCTTTAGAATAGGTACACGTATGGATCTCTTCCAGTCTGTTGGCTAATTACCCTGTTTCCCCAAAAGTAAGACATCCCGCGAAAATAAGACCTATTCCACTTTTGCCTCTTGCTGAAATATAAGGCATCCCCCCCAAAATAAGACCTCCCCGAAAATAAGGCCCCCAGAAGCTACCATAACTCTGGACTCTGGACCCTAGTGGTGGGTGCCGCCGCGCAGCTCACAGTTGGCTGCAGCACAGCCAGAGCAGACAGGAAGTACAAGGTCTCTTTTTAATAAAACAATAAATGTGTATCGGATTCTTCTTCATGGAAAAATAAGACACCCCCAGAAAATAAGACCCATCACATCTTTGGGAGCAAAAATTAATATAAGATACTTGTCTTCCAAATTTTGGGGCATAGACAACTGTTTCCAGTGCCTCATCAGCTTGTTGAAATATTTTGATTGGAATTCCATCAATTCCTGGAAACTTGTTTTTGCCTAATGCTTTCTGTGGAGCTTGAACTTCCCTCAGTTCCATTGGTTATTGCTCATATGCTAGTTACCGCCTGAAATGGTGGAATGTTGACTAGTTCTTTTTGGCATAGTGCCTCCATGTATTCTTCCCATGGTCTTTGAATGCTTCCTGCATCATTCAATATTTTGCCCATAGAATCTTCCAATTTTGCAATTCAACTCAAGGTTTGAGTTTTTCTTGAGTTCTTTCCGTTTAAGATATGTGAGCATATAGATAGTCTCATCTTTCTCCCACAGAGCAGTTGTTGAATTTGAACTGCAAACCTTGTGGTTAGCTCAGTGTGTAGCCCATTCCATCACCAGAGTCGAAGTCGATTTGATAAGTATTATTTGGTTCAGTTTGGTTTGGTTTAATTTTTAGAAGTAACCTCAAGGACTTGAACATTTTTATTTGTACATCTTAATATTCAAAGTCACCTAAGATAGCCCCGTTTGTTAATAAATACTAAAGTTTGTAGAATAAAACTTTGTAATATGAAAATAATACTGCATGGCAGTCCCTATCTGCTATGGACTTTGGACAAATTGTTTCTCTTTGTTTATTCCCTCTTCTGTGAA